GCTCCTTGGCCAGCGCGCTCTGCATCATGGCGGCCCGCCACAGCGAGCCGTCCGGGTTCTTCACCACCTTGACGGCGGGGCTCGTGTCCCCGCTGCTGCGCTTCGTGCGGCCCTGCAGGAACGGGGGCTCCTCGTCCACCAGCTGGATCTCCAGGTCCTCATCTTGCTCACCGCCCAGCTGCGGGAGGATGCCTGTCTCCTCGTCAAAGTCTGGAAACTCCTCTTTGGAGAGGACGTCGGCCACAGTCATCTGTTTGATCTCCCACTTCTCGAGATCCGAGATGGCTGTGAGGAGGCCCTTGCTCTCCAGCCGGTCGTCCTCCACCTTCGGGGTGCCCATGAGCAGCAGGTGGCTGGGTCTGTCTGGGTTCTGCGTGGAGGTCTCCTCCCCGGTCTCCCTGACCAGGTTGTACCACCGCTGCCGCCACCGTGGCTCCTGCTGCTGCCGCCGCCGCCTCCGCCTCTCCCGGCACCACTCACTTTTGTTCAGATCCTCTCCGCTCTCCTGGTCCACATCCTTCATGCTCAGGCTGGTTCTGGTCTCAGTGAAGGACAGCACTCTGGCCTTGACCCGCTGGCCTTTGCTCACCACGTCCGCCACGTTGGCCACGCGGGCCTCGCGCTGCAGCTCGGAGATGTGCACCAGGCCTTCCCACCGCTTCCTGAGCCCCTCCGGCTGCACAACGCACCCGAACTGCAGGATGTTGGTGACCTTTCCTGCGTATATGTGGCCAATGGCCGGCTCCTCAGCTGATGGGCGGTCCACGCGCTTGTCCCGCCACCTGGCCAGGCTCCCCTCCTCAACCTGGTCCCAGGGGTCCTTTGGGTCCTTGGGGGGGCTCTGGCTCCTGCTCCCGGGACGGTGTCGGGACCTCCCTTTCTTCCTCTCCGGGGTCCGGGAACGGGACCGCCAAGAGCAGGACTGCTGGCTGCGCCTGCGTTCTCTGTCTCTGTCTCTGCCTCTGTCTCTGTCTCTGTCTCTGTCTCTGTCTCTGTCTGTGTCCCAACCCTGGTCCCGGTCTGGGTCCCGGTCCTGGCCCTGGCCCTCTGTGGCGCTGGGCATCAGGGCCTCCAGCTCTCTCA